ATGATCAAGAATCATCATCTGCCTCCACCTGACCCCATCCCAGCATCCTTCTGTGTTGCACCAACCCTCCGTCATCTGCATCTACTGTACAAACCTCCTCTGTGTTCTCTTTTCCTCCTGCCTGGTAGCTTCATCTTCAGCATCCTTTGTCTAATCTATCCACTATCCCTCCACGACACATGTCCAATCCATTTCAGCCTTGCCTCGGTCCAAACTCATGGACTACACATAAGAGGTGGTGAGAATGACGATGAATGCAGGTACTCTGCTGGCTACCTTTGGACCCTGATTGCATGGATTTTAATGTGGCATGAACCAACCACTAAGCATTGCTGCTGACCAAGTAGATTATCCCCTCTCCCCCATTTCAAATAGGAAGTGAACTCCCTGATGAGTCGTGGCAGAGCACTGCTGGTTGGCTGTTAGGTGAGATGTTTTAAGCCATGTCCAGCTGGGAGGAGACAGTGGGCAGATCCGAGAGTTTAACTTAGTTTCAAACAGTTTCCATTGTGGATTTTGTTATTTTCTATTTCATTTCCTATTAAATGTTTAAGTCTATCTTACAGTTTTCAGTTAAATAACAACCTCCCTCTGTTTCTTGTTATTTTCTTGCTGGTGAGACTGTGCAGAGGAAAAATACCGAGATGAAGGCACCTGCTACGACCTGTGAGTGCACATACTGCAGGTTTCCATTCAAACCCTGATTGTAAACAACCACACTCGTTTACAGCACAGCTGCAAAAGGAAACTCCGCTCACAATAAAACAGAATAACTGCAGACAAGGGCACATATTCAAGTATTTTTGCACACACCATCTTCCTTGTTCCTTGTCCTATTTTCTCGGGTGCCATGACCCATTTCAGCGTTTTGCTCAGAAACGGGGTCTAACATCAGCTGCAGGCCTCCGACCACTCCACAGACACGGACAACACCACCTCTGTGCGCTATTTATCCTTCTTTCCATCAATGTGAGTATAAGTGGGTGAAGACAGTATGTGCCGATAATGGTCATCTAATAACAAACTGTGAGGAATGTTCTGCTTTTAGGCCATTTGCAGTAACACTTATGTGCAGGGAAAGCAAGCATGCACATCTCTATGCAAGAGTCCATAAACTCGTGCGTTAATTTATGCGCAAATGTGTGATTTGACTCTATGCCTCAGATGTAATCATATTTCACATGGAAGCAGATGGAGAGGCGCACCTTGAAGCCAATCTTGCCCTTCTTGCAGCAGAGGCAGGCCAGCATGAGGAAGACGAAGGTGAAGAGACCCGAGAACGAGATGGCCACCACAGCCAGGGATGATGACCAGGACAGTTCACTCAGTGGAGCGCCATCTGCAGGACACAGAGTGACAGAACGAGAGCGTTAGCAGTGGGATGAGATTCATGTGATCAAATTGCACATTAAAGCATCTTATTAAGGCACTAAAGCAGCAATGGCATTAAGGCCTTTTCATTGCATTTCTTTCTTATGATATCTCATATTTTCAAATGCTTGATTCATTGCCTAAAGTCGTGTTTTTGATGGAAATTAAATTCTCGGAAACATTATAGTCTTCTAGCAGTTACCCAGAACCACATTACACCTCTGCACAGTACAACGCCGAAATGAAAGGTTGTGGTTGCTTTTTTATTACATTTGTTATATACGATACAGACATTTGATGGTGATTTGAAAGAAGAAATGACACTGGCTAACTTTAATTTGTTGTAACCAAATAAAAAGGATGTTTTTGTATAATAAGATTCAGGCGGATGAGTCGAAGCGTTATTATTTTTGCTTTACTGCAGAGCCCTAGAAACAAGCTCATACTGCAACAACCTCATGTGCATTTTTATGATGGTTTTCTATTCTGTCCTATTCAAAGTCTGCTGCTAAGACTAAATGCAGTTATTATGGAAATACAACCTGATCATTTCCAAAAAAAATGGATGTCTTTGGGACATCAACATGGTCATACAATTCACAAGTTCTAATGTCACGCAGAGCTTCCTGGATTCCCACCTAATCAGCTCTCCAGATACAGAAACACAGTCTAGTGCCTGTCATAGACCCAGGTCATCTCACTCCTGCAGGCTGCCCTGAAAGTTACTCAAATAATGAGCAAATAATGAGATCAAGCCCTTCAAATATTCATTATACAAAGGAAGTACATGTACTCAAACACTGCACTTGCATTTCACAGTCAGATATTTTCATTTTTACTCTCCTATACATTTATTTGTTTATGTAATATGCTAATTATTCTGTAGATTCTAATCAGCATGTAATATGTATGTAATATTTTATATAACAATAAAACTGCATTGGTACAGTAAATTCGGGCCTACCTTTACCAGCTTGTCATAAACATGTATTTTAATCGATGTCCTGTTGTGCAGAATGAGCATTGTTAGCATCTGTGTTTGTGTGTCATCTGTGTTTTAGAAATGCAGCAGCAGGAACAATAAAAAAGACCGAAAACACCAACAAAATGAATCAAAGTGTTTGTCTGAGACTATTTGGGACACGCTGCTAATTGGCTAAGCTAATAAAGTCGTGTATGTTACACTTAATTAACTCCAATTATTTAGCATGTCGAGGACAGATATATGTTTTTGTGGTTTCCATCACATTCATTGAAACCTGCGTAACTTTGTGGACCCTCTAAACGTTCCCTGTTAATAATAATAATAATAATAATAATAATAATAATAATAACTTTATTTATAAAGCGCTTTCAAACAAAGTGCTGTACAACTATTTGAAACTAAAAAGATAAAATAATAATAATAATAAAAGCGATACATAGCAATACAGGTAAAAGACACAATACAAGTTAAAAACAGTAAAAAATTAAAAACTAAAAGCCACAGAATTAAGACTTG